ACTTGACTGAGAGGTAACTGCAAGTGTTGGGTTACAATTATCCAAAAATTTGATTACTGATATTTGCTGTCTGTCAGAGGGAGCTGTTTGTTTTAGCCCGTGACAGTAAATAGAGGGATGAGGTTATTCAAAACCTAACGATCACTTAGTATTTTTGAGGGAACTAGGGTATATCTAACAACTGTAAATAAGTTTTAACATTAGATTACAAGTTTGGCTCATAAAAATAACTGCAAGTTACATGTAATATTTGCCTCATGTTCAGATAAGACAATTAATCACATTAAAATGCACATAAGCTATTATCAGGTGGGTTAGTGGGTCAGATTTAAACACCTATCAGTGTCAAGTCGGCCTAGGCATGAACTTACTTGGCTAATTTTTTATTTTATTATTAAAAGGTACTTTAGAACATGGAGCCTGTAGAGAAGAACATGGACTGCAGGTTACACATAGTATATGTGTATATGCTAGAAATTATGATTCTGAAGATGTTTTAAAGACAAAATTATCAGTAAAGGACATAAATGCTGTTATGAAGGAGATATGTCAACTCTATGCTTTACTTAAAAGGAGAATATGCAGAATCAGTAGAGAAGTGATAATTACTTTTCCTTTGGCTGGTGCTGGAATAATGCCCACGTTCTGATCTACCTTCATTGAAAAATTAAAATGGGTTACTAAAAAAGAGATGCAGTGTTCAGGACTAGGAACCTTATTCAAAGAATGCTAATTATAATTACACAGTTACCATAAGGATATACCATGAAACAACTCACAGAAATGGTACTAAGAGCTTCAAACTCCAGCAGGAAAGGAGAGAGCATTTTCAATAATTGAGCATAAGAGCACTGGAATAGAGCTCTGATAGGAGAAGGTAAATTTTCTCCTGCCACTGTGGGCAAGAAGGGTCTCTCAGAAGCTATTGCACTTGTACAACATGGCATATCCCCATAGTTTTTCTGCAACCTTAATTCCATTAAAGCTATTAATTCTACCTTAAAAATTATCACTTGTGAAAGTGATATGGCTACAAGACATGAGCACAGTGTGAGAGTAACACACTTTTTATTCATTATCTGTAGATTTGCACAGGGGGCTTCTGTTAACACTTCGCTCTACATTCATTGGATATTTCAGTCTTACCTTCTAATTTACTTTCATATTGAAAGGTACATAAAATATGCTTTGCCTTATAATATTTCTCCGAAAACATGGAAGAGAGAGGAATTCAGCAGAGTTTGAGGAAAAGTCAAAATCAATTTTTGGCAACTTTAAACCATGAATTTGTAAGTACAACTGTCTGTCAACAGCACTGGGAAGACAACTTGGGCAGCTGGTTGCAGATCTACGACCCTGAGAAGATTTTCAGACCGTAGTATGAAAAAGTGATATAAATGCTGAAGTTTTTATTTCTTCATATCATTTTTATTAAAGTACAAATGCAGCCAAACAACTTTATTCCTGTAACATACTTGTAACTATGTGTCATAAGTGGCACAGGAAAATACCTCTATTGCCTTCTGTTCAAACCACTACAAATCTGGAAGAACTGCAAAGCTCTTCACGCTGTAAAAATGTTCCTTTTCAAGACTGCTGTTTTTATTTGTCAATTCTAAATAAACAACAGTGAGAAGGGTTGCTTTTTTTCTTTGTTATTGCTTTCTAGATGGCTGCTGAATCCCAGGCAGCTACTAACTACACATGAATATAAAGATTTGGCAAGTGAGAACGAATGGCAGAATGAATTTCTGCAAAATTTGTGCTTTAATTGTAGATGCTGTTTCTATCTGTGTGTCACTAAAACCAGGGCTGATGCTGCAGCTGCTGAGCCATAAGAGGGCAGCTGCTGCAGATGAAGCTCCATCCTCATTCTGGTCAGCCGCAGTGTGAATGCCTGCACTGCTTCTCCTTTTCCCTCAGCTGAATTCCTTTGCCTTTTAAAAATTCCCACTGCTGTCTCTATTAGGTGGAAGAGACACTAATGATGTGCATGAAGAGTCAGAAAACGAAATGACAGGAGGAATTTAAAAAAAGATTGTGCAGCACCCTTATCTACACTTGGAGTTGTGCACCTGCAGTTCCACATCTCATCAGACAAAAATGCTGTTTCTTCCACGGCAATATGAGTCATGTTGCTGTTAATGAATAGTCATTATTTCTGCATTTTCACTAATAAAAATTGTTAGAAACAAAGTTAGGAATCTTGAGAAAATGCTGCAGTTCTGGTTCATTAATCTGTGGGTTTTGTTTGGATTCTTCTCTGCATTTGGTAGAAAAGCTCTAAAATCTTAAAGGACAAAGCACAGGAGTTGTGGTAGAAGTGAGGTATTGGCTTCATGAGGCTTCTTTCTTTTAGAGGGAATTTGAATGCCAATTTTTTTTTAAGACACAAAAAAATACACAAAAGCCTGAGTCACTCTGACTTTTCAATCACAGTGGAAGTAGCAGGAGATGGGATATTCCCAACTTGCCATTCTGCTTATTCACATTCCTGTTCATAATCATGAACTTGTATCATGATTATGACAAGTGTCTGTTCTATATTTTTGAGATGAAGATAACAGCACTGGTAGCTTTTATGACCATTGCTGGAGAGGGACAGTACTGTCCAAGATCAAAGTCCTGCCTATAAAGAAATAGATGAAAACAGGGATAACGAGTAAGTGCCAGAGCACTATCAAAGATCTGCTGTAACATTAGAGTGGGGGATTGAAGCAGGCCAGTTGCTTCATCGGAAGGGTGTGTGAGACTGGTTTCCTGGCCATGGATAGAAAAATGAAGTCATGTCATTCATTACAACACTCGATTGCCATGAGGATGATTAAAAGAAGGAAGAAGGTGAAGAGACTGGCCAAGTGATGTATGAGAAAAGACTAAGGGAGCTGTGATTGCTTAGCTTAGAGAAGGCTCAGGGTGCTCTCATCAGTGTGTATAAAGAACTGATGGTGGGAGTAAAGGTGGGATAGGATTGTTCTTAGAGGTGTCCAGCGACAGGACAAGAAGCAATAAACACCAATTGAAGTAAATGACAGTTGAATTAAATATGAGAAAAATTGAGATTTTTGCAGCAAGGGTAATCAGATATCAGGATAGGTTGCCCAGAGAGGTTGTGGTCTCCCTCACTGGAGATGTTCAAGAACGGTCTGGATGCATTTCTATGCCATGTGCTTTGGGATAACCCTGCTTGAGCAGGGAGGCTGGACCAGGGGAATCACCTGGTCCCTTCCAACCTTAGCCATTCTGTGAAATGATTCAAGAGGCCCGGACTGAATCCCAATAGATGAAGGGCCCTGCCATTCACATCCTGGCAGCTGAGACGGCACTTCTGACAACCTCCACTGTCCCCGACCGGGTCCAACTGTTAATGGCTCTCTCTGTGCAAGCACACTGGCCCCTGCACCTCCAGTGGGGACAGACCATCCCTCTCCTTCCAAAACTGATGTTCCCCCTTTGGCATGTGTGAGTTCCTGCCAGGCAAGCGACACGCAGAGGTTACTCCCGACTGGCGCTCTGTCCGGCTCCCGCTGCCCGCGGCCGCACCTGCGTCTCCTGCCGGCACCGCGCCCTGCCCGCACCTGCGGCCCCACGGGGGGGTCGCTCCCGCCCGCACCGCCCATTGGGCCGGGAGCGTCACGCGCCCGATCCATGCCGTGCGCGCGGGCCGGGAATCACCGCGGCTGCCGGTGATTCATTGGTCGTGGCGGGGCGCGAGCCCGCAGCATCCCGGCCGCTCTCGGGCTGGCGGGGCCAGGGCGCTCCCGGGGGGCTGCGCCTGGAGCACGGGACGAAGCGGCGTTTCGGGAGCCGGCAGGGCAGCCGTTCCCGGTGCGGTAAGAGCGGGGAGGAGACGCCGCTGCGGGGCAGGGGCTGAGTGAGCGGAGCGGGGAGGGTACGACCCCGCCCTCCCTGCCCTGTCCCTCCCTGCCCTGTCCCTCCCTGCCCTGTCCCTTCCTGCCCTGTCCCTTCCTGCCCCTTCCTGCCCCTTCCCGCCCCGCAGTAGGGCTCACAGGGGTGGGTGTTCCCGGCTGGGCGGCGTGGGGAAGCTCCGAGCGCCCGTAGTTCAGCCTGCGGTTAACAGGTGTCTGAAGCGTTTCTGGAACAGAGAGCAGTCGGCTCCCGCAAGTCTTAAGGTCTGGAGTGCTCCGCTATTTTTTATTTTACTTTAAGGAATAATAATTAAAAAAAAAACAAAAAAAAAAAAGATGAGGTGGCACTGTTCGTTTGGGTGACATGGAAAATACCGGCTGTAGAGACGCTTGTATTTCCCTTCTGAATTTGTAACGAAGCGATTTCTTCTGTATTCAAAAGCAAAACAGCTACAAAGCACGAGCTTGCTTGGAATACATGGAAATTTTTTTCAGTGTTCTCAAATTGGATGTCTGTTTTGCTCTGACTGCTGAGCATTTGAACGAACTTAAAAACTGAACGTAAAATGTTTGAGGGGGAGAGAAAAAAAACACAAGATAAGTTTATTGTATGTTTGTTGTGGTGCTGTTTGTTAGGGTTTTGTTTGTTTGTTTGTTTTCAGATGGCATCTCTTTCCGTTTGTATTTTCAGGCTGAAGTGATGTCAACTCTCCTACCTACCATACAGCCTTTGATTACTTCTGTTCTCAGTCTTGCCTTCTTCCCTTTCCCCATCTGCTCTTCCCTGGTCTTCTGTTGATTCTCATACTCCTTTCCCCCCTCCCCTACCCTTTTCTTCCTTCTCCCTTAACCATCTGTTTTTTTAACAGTTGTCGTCTCTGTGGTCTCTTACTCTAGTGAGCCCTCTCAGTTGACAGTGATTGTTCAGGGCAGTTCAGGTCCCTCTCCTGAGCTGTCTGCCATTCTTTTTGCTGGAGAGGATCACCTCAATGAGGAGCCGGCAAAACTCTCTGAGCAGTCTCTGTTCCCTGACACTTACCTTGCTCATCCTATCATATCAGCCTTGTTTGGCGCTTAAAATCGGACTGTGACTGAAAGCATAGACACAACACTATAATATATTATTAGAGGGACGGGGCAGCAGTGGCAGTGCTGTGTCAAACTGCCTCGGCAAGGCTGGTTGGGCTTCACTGAAGAGAGCATGGAGGTGGTTCTGTTTCCAGGTGTGCTTCCCAGCCCACTGCTCTGTCTTGGAGCTGCTCCTGTTTCAGTCTGTTCCTCTCATTTTAGCCTTCCAGAGGCTGTACTCCCAGGGATGCAGATTTATGTAAGCACTGTGGAAAGAAATAGATGTTTTGGTTTCTGCTTGGAGACAATCAGGCAATGGTCTCACATTCAGCTTGTTTTTCTTGTCCACTTGTGGTTTTCTATTCAGGTTCCTAATCAGAGAGTTAAGATAATTTTGACAACAGGAGTAAATACCTGGAAAGATGCCAAGGGAACTGCAGATCTCCATTGACTGAGTACAGTGTGGCTCCATTCTTCACGAAAATAATGATATATTCTGTGTATCAATTACAACCAAATATGTATAAAATAAATCAAGCTATTGCAAGAAATTTTTTTTTTTTAAAGGAAATAAAATCCAGAATATGAAGATCTGGACAAAGTCATTTACTGCATATTCTTTTGCTGATCATCTATGTACATGTTATGGTGGAAGAGGTTTTGAGTCAAGTAGAGATGATGCTCCTGCAGCTTTTCAACAGTTTAAATCAAATTTTCAGTCTTTGAACCTATAATAGCAGCTATTGCTGGTAAAATTTTATTACAAAAAGATGAAGGCTTTAGTCTGCATACTCACTGCAATGGGCCACGGTTGTACTGTTTTAGTGATGTTTCCCTGGCATCTACTTACTTCTTTATAGCCTGATGTAACACAGAAACGTGGCAGGGATTAAGAATGGGAACATGCAGATGTGTGCCTGTGAGTTGCGTACTGCTGTCCGATTTACCTGGGAGGAAATCTGCATTTGAGACACTACAATAAATTGTTGTCTTCTTAAGCAGCACTGGAGGGAGGAATTAGATCCAAAGGCAGGGAAAAAAACCCTAGTTCTTGTTCAGAAAAATCCCAAGCCAATCTGATTTTTAATGAACAGCTCCATTCCAGTGAGTGCTTGAAATTGTCAGGGAACCAATTAAGGCAAAATTTCTGCATCGTGTTGTAAGCTAACTACAAAAGTTCAGAAAATGCTTGTCATACAGGTGTGGAAGCTTTCAAGAAAAATGGCGTAATTTTATTTTATTAGTTCTTGAGGAAATGTAATACATAATTCAAATTGAATTACGTATTTTCAAATTTAAAAGCTTAAACGTTATTTTGCATCAGAGAGATTAGAATTTACAGACCCTGTGTGGGTGAGAGCATCAGCTGAAGATTTTTCCCCCACAGCACTGTCAGACCCCAGCTGTGAGATACCCAAGCGTGGGAGTAGCTCTGACAAATGGTCTTTTGTACCCGGGAACAGAACTATTTCTGCAGATGGAACCATCGAGAAGTAAAGAGGTGCTATGTGAGGCATGCTGTGGCCTGTACTTCACACCAGACGAACATTATCTGAAGATTAGGGTTTAATGTTGTAATGAGAGAGAGGAAATTGTACTCTGCTTCCACTGTGCTTGTCAGTCTCAGTGCTGTGGTGGCTTTTTCACTGATGCAAAGCTAAAACAGAGCTCTTAAATGGTGCCTGAACACACTCTTCCATTTTCTGGGCTGTGCAACCCTATGAACATCTGCTCTGCATTTAAACCTGGGCCCTGCACATTGTAGTGGGGCTCCCTGCGGGGTTGGTAGGAGAGGCCTGTGCTGCAGTAGCTGCTGCAGGGCACAGGACATCTGCAGGGCCAGGTAATCGGCAGGAAGGGAGCCCAGGGAATTCTAGCTGTTTATCAGTGCTGAGTTTCCCAGGAACAATCATACAAGAGTAGTTCCTTCTCTCAGCCTTGCCCCTGTTAAAAATGGTCAGTTTGGTTGTAGTTATTTGAAATACTCCTGAGTGCCTCCTGTTCTTGGATTCAGTTGTTTTTCTGGCTACATACAACACTCTGCTTCCAATGTTTCTTCACAAGTTGTAGTCTAGCCAATTTGAGTAAATCTAGTGTAGTAAATTCTAAGTGAGATCATTTTACTTTCAAAGTTAATTTCATCTTTTAATTATTAAATATATGATAATATTTGTTCTGTCCCTACTATGGAGGCTGCTTTTTTTTTTTCTAGGTTCTTACACTATAAACCAAGTAGAAGTTATTTTAAAAGCAATTCATAGGTACTCATATTCTGATGGAGCTGCTCCAGTTGACCTGTAGTATGCAGATCAGTAAGAGTGTGGTGGGGAGATGCTTTCCTTTCTCTCTAAGAGAGCCTAAGAATAAGGCTTCATATTGACAGGCTTCAGGGTTAGCAAGGAATTCAGAAGATCACCATCCAAGCACTGATTTTCTGTGAGAATAAAGGTAATAGAAGGAGACATTAAAAAAAAAAAAAAAAAAAAGAAGAAGAAGAAAAAAAAGAAGGACTACTTTGCTAAGTCAGGAAAATGAAGGAAAATAATGCAGCCCAAGAGCAGAAACTTCTGGGGCAGGCCAATTGCAAACTTGCGTTACAGTTCACTCTTACCTCATCAATGGATATGACAGGGCTCTTTGACTTCAGGGTTTTCTATAATAAATCAGCCTAGGACCTCTGTGTTATTACTGAAAGGTGAAAAATTTGTAGTGAGAAAGGTTAAAATGGGTACTATTATAAACAGCTGAGGGAAAGGCAGCCTTTCTTTTGAAAGTGTTGGATATACTTATGCATAACATTGATGTTAGCATTTGTAACAGTATAGGACTGAAAAAGCCTCAGTATTTTAGTGCTTGTTCATAGGGCATCTGCTAGTTTGGTTGATCTTGAGGGAACTTGGGTTTGTAAATGCCATACCTGCACATCTACAAGAAGGTTGACTTTTAGTGAGGAAAGGAAAATGGGCTCAGTACTGATTGTATAATCCTACCGTAGATGCAGGAAATAAATGGAATTATGGCTAATCTTTTTTACTTTTAGATAATACAATCTCTTAAGACTGTATTCCAGCTGTAATTTTTAAAGCTTTTGGTGCTGGAGTTAAGCTTCACTGTGTTTTGGGAGCAGGTCCCAGTAACTCTATACTAACTGTTCCATGTCCCTTTACTGTTAGGGCAGGACTGACATTTTTAAGAGCGAAAGGAATACAGAGCTTCTGTGATGCTATATTAGGTATATAATTCCTTGTCTTCTCAGAAAGGCTTATGAATGAGATTAAACAGTATTTGCTTTATTTGTTTTTTAGGTCCTTACAGTTGCCTTTGACCTCATAATATGATATTATTTCATATTAGTTTCTGCCTTAACTTCCATGTGGCCCCTACCCAGCTGGGCTCCTAAGCGGGCATTAGTGTTTGCATATATTGTTATTGACTTTGGGAAAATAGTTGGCAAACTCTTTCTGCCTTTGTTAAATTTTACTTTAAATTCATAAACTTATCACTTCTAAGTACAAACAGCAGCTATACGACTAGCACTCAAACTGTGCATAATGGTGTGTTACACTGCAGCGCACATAATGCAGGATATTAAGTGTTAGTATCAGGATATTAAGCATTAGTATATGGAAAGTAAGATATTACAGTAAGAATTTGTGTGTGGTGTATAAATAGTTTATTGTTGGAGTCTAGTTTACATTGCACAGTTAGAAGAATAATAAAACATATTACATGATGTGTGATATGGTAGTATGAAGCGTGGATGTCTGTAACTTTGTTACCTTTCTCATCCTTAGTTCCCAGGTTAAGCAGTGACTAAAACAGCTTTTTTCTTTCCATTGTTATAAACTCCTTTTGTGACGAATCCAACATTATTCTTGTTATTTCAGTGCAACAACTTGTGCAGATAATGCTGTTTGTGAACACTGTTCATAAACATTACCGCTATCACCATTGCACTTTCTTTTCTCTCCAAGAAAAGACCTAGGTATCATGCACTCAGAGTTGGCATGTATATTGATTTGTAATTGTACTGTCTGTTTCCAGATATCTTTGGGTTTTTTTCTTCCTTTTTTTTTTTTTTTTTTTAATAAATTTCACTTCTTTTTTATAGCTTGTTTTTCTCTCTTTTATTGCAGGTAGGATTGGGTATTCCCCTGTAAATACCACAAGTTTGATCTCAAATCATGCCCATCTGGGATCTTGGGAATTAGCAGGAAGCAAGGACCGTTAGGGTAAGAATTTGCTACAGATTACCTCCTTGTCTGTGACTGGGAGTAGCACAGCTTTGTTCAAAGCAATAGCCATGCGGCAGAGTTGTAGAAAGGTGGGGTCTGTATTACTTTTCAACTGATGCAGTGCAGCAGAGTAAATAAGTTTGTGCTTGGTTTTTTTTATTTGCTTTTTCTCTGACTTCACCTCTTAGTCTTTGGGAAGGAATAAAAAGGAACGTGGGGCTGGCTGGCTCCCTTTCCTCTCTGCAGAATATTGTTGCTGGTCTGGGGACTTTGGGAATATGGGAACAGCCTGAGTTGTTAACTTCTCATAGCCAATAACTTCTGAGTTAATTGTACTGCCCAGATGATGGAGGTGATGCACCAGGGTGTAGTGCTAAGCTTTCTCAGGCTGGGGCTTCTCACAGTTTGAAATGTTACTACTTTTTTTTCCCATGTCTAGCTCTTGGGATCTTCAGAATTTGCAAGGGGGCAACTTCTATGAAGACTGTGAAGTGCTTAGATTCCATGGCAGTAAGCAGAATAGAAGTATGTAGAATATAAATGTAGTTTTTGATTGAAAATTTTTGATTGAAAAGTTGCTTGTGTCTACCATACTGGAAATTTCTCTTGCTCCAAAAATGAACAGTACCTCACCAGTCCACATGGTTTTATTTTGTACATGCAGGTCAGCTTCGGAGGTAGCTGTTGCTGGTTACATACAAGGCCAATTTCAGATATATGCAAAAACAGATATGCCTTTGTGGCCCCAGTGATGGTGCAAGCCATGAAGTTGTGTTGCAGATGTGGTGTGTGTTCAGTTTTGCTTTTGCAGTGACTCATTTTGAAAGGTAAGTGGCTGAGACCCTCATGCAATGCATGAATGATGTCCGGATTGAAGCAAATAGTCAAACTGCACAGCAATTGATGCCCTGCTGCTACAGTTCGAAATTGTGGATGTTGTGCAAATGTAGCCCAACAATCAAACTTAGGTGAGGACCACTGGCATCTCTCAGGCAAGCCTGTAGCCTTACAAACTTTCCCACAGGTTACAAATGAGTTTTCATGAAGGTATAATTTAACTCCAGGAGTTGCAGTTGGGTATCCTTGGGGAGTGTCTGGGTACCTGTTGACATCCTTTATCTGCAGAGAGCAATGCAATGCTCCAGAAACAGGCCATGAGCACTTGCCCTTTTTAGTTTCCAGGAGACTGATCTGCCTGAATCTCCTGGTTTGCAGCACTGAACACAGCCCTGCTTTGGAGTTTCTTGAGTAGTCAAAGTAGAGCTTTGTGTTGCTCACTTGCTTGCTCCTGAAAGAAGTGAGCTGGAGTGAGGAAAGACTGGCCGCATCCATACCCATCAAAATCAACAGAGGGGCTTTCATGTTTACCTTAAACAACTCCTGTACCCCCCAGAAAAACCCTCAGCAAAGTCAATTGGAGAAGCCCTCTGTCATGCTTCAGACACTGCTCTCCATGCCTGAGAGAAAGTGCGTTTGAGTGCATTTCCTGGAGGAATTCCTTCACTGCAACCCTTGCTTGAAGTCCCTCTGTGACCTGCTGCAGCCTGGCAAGTGCACCTGACAAATGTCTATCATGCCAGCTCACCCTGCTTTGGCCTTCCCCAGAAGATGCAAGGTCTAAGTATTCATTACTTTCACTGTGGTGCTCCTTGTACCACCATACTAGACTGCCTTTTAAGTAGAATGAAAGGTTGGTATTCACATCCTTCAGGCTGAGGTTTTGGAGATATTTGGACAGACAAAGCTTATGAGTGAGCTGTAAGCTGTTTTGGGAAATGCTAATGCTTAGCTGTACTGGAGGATTTAGAGGGATATTTTGTATGCCCCTCAAAGCATAGATTAGCTTGGGAGCTGGTGACCCAGGTTTCAGTTTGCAGCTCTCCCTCTGACAGTGGATTGTCTACAGTGAAAGCAAATCTTGAAACCCTGGCAGTCAGTGGTGAAAGTCAGAGCATCCAGTCCAAACCTAATACTAAAGCAGGACAGATTCTTTTTGTTCTGGAGGTGGCTGTACTCCCCATAAACCATAATTGGGCACTAGAGACTAGACTGGGAGAGAGATTTGCATGTGGCCCAATTAATCCCATCTACCTACACCTGAGGTGGAAGAAACAAAATTTTTCAGGCTGTTCACCTACCCTACTCTGAAGTTTTTTGCCTGTGGATTTCAGCTCTTCTTGTAAAAGTAAAAAGAGGGAGGTGACTGAATATTAGTGATGCCATATGAAGAATATAGGAATGGTAGACTTGTCTGGAAGACTCTAAAAAAAAAAAAAAAGCAGCCCTTAAACAGGACTGTGCTAATAAAATTTGTCAAGACATGTCATTGACAAAATATCAAGGAGAAGGGGAAGAAAAATGGTGGGAACCCTGTGTAGCACCATGTAGTCTCTTGGAGTGCAGTCACAAAATGAAATACAAACTGCTGTTAGAAACAATTGACAGATCTGAGATGGGAACAAACTATGACAGGAATCCCATGAACTGGACTGTCCATTATAGCCATCTTTTTTCTTTCTCCTCTGTGTTTTGAGCTATTTATTCTTGCTGGAGGCTTTCTGGGTGGCTAGGAGGGGATGAGCATAAAGTAGTGAATCTTCTTGTCCTGACCCAGGAATAGAGTTAGTAACTTTTCTCCCTGTCCCCCCAGACCTTTCCCATTGTCTGGTTGCTCATTGTAAAAACTAAACTGGTTTGGGTGGAAAAATAGATCCATTTATTGTTTTAAAGGATTTATCACTTGTCAGTCAAGTTTTGATATGTGTTTAAGGTTCTGAACATTGTAACTAGGTATGAAGTTTTACTTTTCCAGGCATAATATTTATTTTAAATTGTTTTGAGGCATTACTGCCAGCATTTGCTCATGGTAAAATAGTAGCAGAAAGAACTGGATTTTTTAAAATTTGAAATGCTGTTCATGTTCCCTAGGTGAATCTGTTTCTCATTTTATGCCTCATTTTTGTTCTTTATGTATGGTTCTCCTAGCATTTGAAGTCTTAGTCAAACCTGCTGGGTTTTAATTGAATGCAAAATTACCCAAAGCTCAATTCGCTTTTACAAATAGTATTTTGTAATATGTTTTAAGTTGGATGTCCTGACTCCAGCTGCTGCAGCAGACGTTCTGTGCAGAGGTGTGGAGGTTTTTTTGATGTGCATAAACCAGTCTAATTTTCCAAAAAAATTACTCTGCAAAGTGCAAGTCCCTAGTACAGAGTGGTGGTAATGACAGAAATATCTACCAAGATAATTTAACGATGCTTAAGATTGAATTGTGGTTTTTGTTAATCTGTGGGGGAAATCACTCATTTTATTTTCCTTCTTTAGTGACATACTGATCCCATTTATCAGCATAGAGAAATTTAGGTTGGAAGGGACATTTGGTGTCATTTGGTCTAACCTTCTACACAAAGCATGTTCAATTAGATAGGTACATTTTGACCTGTATCTAATTTGAATTTCCTGTTTCTCATTTTTTGCCAATTGCCTCTTGTCCTCTTACTCTGCACTTCTGAGAAGAGCCTGGCACCATCATCTCTGCACCCTCCTACTCTAACTGTGGACAGCACTAAAATCTCCTTGGAGCCATCTCTTCTCCAGGCTGAACAAACCCTTAAGCTCTCATGCATCCTGTGCTTCAGCTCCCTAACCATCCTGGTGGCCTTTCATTGGTCTTGCCCCAGTGTATCTATGTCTTTCTGTAATTAGGGATACCAGCTGGTATATGGTTGGGGTATGGTCTTCCCAGCAGTGAGAAGAGTAAACACTTCTCCTCACCTGTTGGTACACTCCTGTTAATCCAGCCCAGAACACATTTGGTGGTCTTTGCCACAAGGCACGTGGCTGGCTCATGTTCAGCTAGTTGTTCATTGCAGGTCCTTCTCTGCAAAGCTGCTCCCCATCAACCTCCAGCCTGTACTGCAGTGTGGGCTTATTCCCTCCTGGATGCAGGACTTTGCATTTGCACTGATGATGCTCATGAAGTTCCTGTTGCTCCCTTTCTCCAGCTTGCTCTGGTCTCTCTAAGCAGCAGTCTGCCCTCCAGCCTCTTGGCTGTTCCCCACATAATTTGTGAACTTGGTACATGCCCACTTCATTTCAGCACAGTATCAGTCCCTGAGGGGTACCACTGACAACCAGCTGCCAGCTGGGCTTTGTATGAAAACACAAGCCTTTGAGCCTGGTAGTCTGGCCGGTTCTCCACCCAGATTTTTGTGGCAGCGTTCATCCCAAGAGGTAGAGGTTGATGGTATTATTTTTAAGCTGTAAAATCTATATTCAATCAGAGGAACCTGGTTTTGATATTTTGTACACTTACAGGCATCTCTGTGGAGGTGAGAATAGGTTTTCGTCTTTCCATTGAAGAGAAGATCTGTGTTAACTGTTGGTTAGCCAGCCAAGATGGGTGAAGGAATGGGAGGGGATGTGGTAGCCTTGTCTGGATGAGGCAGTGGCTGCTTTTGAGATAAGGAAGTGATCCAGTAGATGAGAAAACATTCTTTATAAAATGAAAAGATGTGCTAGAAGTGTGAAGTCTCTATTAACACAGTTCATATCCACAGATACATATTTATTGAGGTGCAAGATGTCTGCCCTGAGGCTGATTTCTAACAGAACCTCCCAGCAGGCCTCGTCTAACTCTGATTACACCTGGGACTACGAGTACTATGAGTATGGACCAGTGTCATTTGAAGGCCTGAAGGCTCATAAATGTAAGTTCAGTAGAGACATACTGTATTGCAGCTGAGCTTCCTGTCTTAATGTTCCTTCTCTGCGTTTGTGACTGATTATTGTACAAAAATATCTCTCTCCTAATTCTAAAGATTTTCTACTTTTTTTCTCTATTTATTAGATTATTATAATTGTTTATTATTCTGTATCCTTTTGTTGACCGTTTTTCGTTTGCTTGAAAGAACCAAGGCTGTGGTAGAAATTTGTCAATACTAATACTATTAGAAAAGTTTAAAACAGCAGATACAGCCACTGCTGCTTCTTGTGACTACTCAGTATAATCTGTATGGCTTTGCTATTGCTCCTTTTAATGGTAAAAAGGCAGTGGTGGACAGCCTTACTGCTTTTGTTTTTCTTCATAGAAAATAAAATAAAAGAAGAATTTTCTCCTTCTGAGCAACTTTTTATTGTTGGGACTTTCCTCATGGGAGGAGTGTGCTAAATTCAGTGTTTTAATAATACTGTTTTACAGTAGAAGTAATAAGTGGACAATAGGGACCAGAAAGATGAAAAATATGGGTTGGAACTGGGAGAGAATTTTGCTAGGACAAGCTAGTAGAGCTAGACCAACATCTATCTAATATTTAATGGCTTTGGATTTTATGATTTGTTTTCTTAGAGGAGATGGTTGTGGGGGGAAAAAAAAAACGGAGGCAAAAGAAAGGTAACAGAGATCAACTCAGAATTACCTGATGGTTTGCAAGCACTTTGTCAAAGAGAAGCAAACAATCTTGTTTCTTCATCTCTGATCTGGATACACTGTGAGAGGGTTTGAGCATCAAAGTACTGGCGAAAGGCCAGAGTGGGATACATACTTTCTGTCTCATTTGTCACAATGAGCTTTTCAGGACAGGAAAAAGTGGTGTCTGCAGTGACAAACAGCAGCCCAGAAAGGCTGATCTTCCTTGACTACCTAGGCACAGCCATGGAACATTCTGGACTGCTCTTGGTAGAGAACAGGACAGAAGTAGCAACTGCTTTTCAGGTGGAGCTTGATGAAAGATGTCATTAGTAGGTACTGAATCAGTGACCTACCTAGGAAATCCCTTCTGGTTGTTTTTTTGGCGGTTTTGTTTCGGTTTGTTTCTGTTTTTCAGTTTTATTTGTGTGTTTGTTTTAACTGATTGATTGGAGTTGGCTCTATTTCCTTCAGTGTTACTCCATGCACTCCTCTGAGGGCAGAGTTTGATTAGTAAAAGAACAGTCTATGCCAGTGTTGTGTATGGGATGATATTTCTTGACAATATGTTCTTGGAACGTGTCTTGTCCTGACTATTACCAGCTGGGTTGAGACTGTTGTGAAATATGGAGGTGAAGTGATCAGACATGAAATTCTCTGAAATCCTAAACTAAGGAGGAAGTAGGGGAGAAGATTACACGGGGTTGTATTAGGAGGGACACCTTGGATATTTACAAAGAAGAGAGGTTAATGAATGCCTGTAATGTTTATTTTGGAGAGCTCAATGGGGAATGGACTCTGGTCTAGGTGAGGCAGGCTGGCAGTAACACTTGACCAGCTGTAAAACATCACTGGCTCTTCTTAAAGATAGAGATGTATGATTTTTTCTTATTATTACTTTTTTAATTGATACACACAGTATTCCACCCAAAATGAGAGGGCACTGTTTTCAACCATAAAATAAGATGAATTCTACAAGAAAAAGCTAGAGGGCACTTTTGAATCAATGTTGATTTAATTAACTGTAGGCAAGAGGAGGTTGATAATATTTGATGTATATATAAAAGAACTCAGAATCCTGTTTCTGAAAGCAGAGAAAAAGTGACATGTAAAGAAAAGGATTGGCAAAACAATCTAATACATAAGAATACATTTCTTTAAAAAAGTGGAGGTGGGGAGAAGATGAGGTATTCAAATGCCACAGTAACTTTTCAAATATATGACTGGAAAGAAAAAAAACTAAAACCAAACCAAACCAAAAAAACCAAACCAAAAAGGACGTTCTGCCTGAGGAGGATTGAAAACAGGATCTAGAAATCACAAAATCTGCAAAAGTAGGGACCAGATGTTTTGTAAATTAAAGCTTTAGAAAGTAAATAGACAAAGATAGCCAGGAGAGACTTGTGACTGGCAGAGAAAAGAACAAAATCCTTTTTTGTGCCTTTGAAACGGGGAAAACCTCAGAAACACTGGAGGGGTGATGTAGGTAGGAATGATCAAGGCAGTCAGATCTGCTCTCAGGATGTTATGGAAATGTAAAAGAAAGGAAGGCTGAAACTGCAACTTGAGAAAGTCGTGGTATACTTTTACAATCTATTTGTAACTTAGGGCAGTATTATAAATGTATAAGTGCCTCATGCCATATTTTTTGAACAGAAGTTGTGTTATGTACTGTTTATTTTGAGTAAGTGTTTAGAAGTTAGTAGATTTGAATAATTTGCACTTGAGTGAGACCTAAATGAAATACTGAAAAGAACTCAGGCCACCTGCTTGTATTTTAAACAAATCCAAATAATGTAACTGATACAGCAGAGGGTTGAAAGTGTGTCAGGAGGCACAATTAAGCAAGGCAGATGTAGCTTTATGCTCAGTAAACTTAGGAATTCCTTTGTGGGAGAGGAACACCAAACAAATCACAAGACAGACTTGTTATTCATCACATAATGCTGGTGGGTGTGAGTTTTGTGGGAAGTAGTAGTTTATCAGAATTTTTATTATTATTTTTTTTAATTTCTCCCTTAGTTAATGAATTAAGTTTGGCAGCTCGATCACTATAATTTATGTGCATATTTTTTGGTCATCTTGGTCACACTTTACATTCTGGTTATCAATGCAGTTGCATATAATTCAAACACGCCTGACTAACTGGTCGTTACTAGTAGCTGTAAATGGTTAAGTGGTACATTTTTTAATGGGAGTATTTCTTTTCAGATTACATTTTCAGGTATTGCCAAGTCCAGCAGGAGGGTAGATAATCATGAGCTATTTTCTACAAGTAAGGTCCAACACAAGGTGCATCTTGAACCACTGCATGCAGGCTCTACTTACAGGATGGCTCTGAAAGGAATGTAGGGCACACAATTGATGGCATTAACAGAAATAAACTCATTCCAGTATACTTTAAGCAAAAAAAGAACTTGGAACAAGTAAACCTATTACAGGGTATTACAAACTCCTCTCCCCTATTGCAGAGACCTATAGCTGCACTGCCCTCTAGTTATTTTACACAGGGTGTTGAGAGGAGAAGATGTGGCATAGGAGAGATGGAATCAACATCGCAGTGGGAGACTTGAAACTTAACCTCCTTACCTTACTAGAGAAAGAGACTCAGGAGTGACTTGATTTTCCAAGGGAGAAAATCTCAGGTTGCAGCAGGCGTTTTGACTTTGCAGCAAAAGAACAAATGATTTGAGTTGATTTCCAATTTCCACATCTGCCTTTTAGCACAGAAGATACTTCGCAGTGGGAGTGTGATTAACAGCTGGTGTCAAGCACCAGGCAGCATAGCTGATTCCTTGGGTTTTTGTTCTCTTTAGCTAGTCCCATAGAAAATTCAACAGTTCTGTGCTGTGCCTGCTGTGCTGGGTCAGACAGATCATCATATATCTTTAGAGCTGGTGACGATCTCTGAGGTTTGTAGTGGCTGTGTAATGAGGGGTTAAAGGTAGAAAGGATTCCTATCCTAACCAAGACTTCCTTCTTGCAAGTTTGTATGTGAATTGTTTTGAACTCCTATGGGGGAAGTTTTGAAAACTTCCATAAACAAAAAAAAAGGAACTGAAATTATAGTTGAAAAAGTACCTGGACCAGGTCATATTTTGTGGTGGTGTTCTGCATCTTTGGTCCTTGAATATCAGTTGATTGTTGTCTGGAGATATGTTTGTCCCACTTGGGCCTTTCTAAATCAAGCTCCTGGAAACTTTGAACTTCCCTCAGGAGCAATTGTGGATCAACCTTTGTTATAGTTTTATACTTTTTTTATTTTTCGTAGTGAAACTATCTGCCCCTGCAGCCACAGCTGGGGGGGTGCTGAAGAGGAACATGAGGCAGTGAGCCTTTCAGACTGGGGAGGGGGAGAAGGAGATTGGAGTTTTTGTTCGCCAGCACTGCCTGGGCACCCTTTGGAGCTGCCGAGGCCCAGAGGAGCTCCTGTTTGTCCCTCGGTGACAGAGTCCCTGCGGTGCTTTGGGTAGAGGGGTTACACATCACCTCTGTTATCACAGGATCTGCCAGCGCCTTGTGGGTTGTTTCTTTTTTTGGGTCTCCCTTCTCTTCACTGGATGGACTAGCACCTCCACCCTTGCCAGCCCCTGCCTCCATAGCTGAGGGGTGGGTGCCTGGGCCCAGAGTGGAGTGCCTGGAGGGAGCATTTTTTTGGAGATGGCCTGCCTACAGCTGGCACCATCTGAGGAGGAGCTCCCAACCACCCCCACTCTGGGATGCAGCGAGATGGTCCTTTTGCAGGGGGAGTCTTGTCTTGGAGTCTCAGACCAGCTGCCGCCATTGAGATCTGCCATTTGCCATGTGGGGTTCATCTGGAGGTTGGCGCCGCTCCCCTGGCCCTCCCCTCGCCTATCCCGCACTCCTTAGCAAACACTTTTTTCTCTGTAAACTGAGTCAACTTTGAAGCCATAAGTTGACATATATTTGTTTTAAGTAGGACTGGCAAACTGTTGCATGATCCATTTGCTACAAATGAGAACAGTAGGTACATTTTCTGTACACAGGCAAAAAGCTGTTCTCTTCCCAATGACTTCTGCTTTGGGCTATTTCATTGACATTTTCCTTTTGATTAACTGGTGGTTTGACTTTTTAGTCGAAACATGTTTGGCTTTTCTGCAGTACTCAAATTAGAAACTCAAATTAAAAATTATCAAAAATATCTTTTATATGCTGATTATTGATATTTGTTGAAGTAGCAAATAGTTTTATCTGTGGTTCTGTTTATTTCAAAACCCTCTGTCTTGTCACTAAAAGAAAGCTAGGTCTTCCTAAACATGCTGTGTCAAAGAAATCCACTAAAGCTCAGAAACCTAATGGTCTGGGCCAGAAGTAATTTAAAATAGCAGGAGTTCAGTTCTACAAAGACATAGGATTTTGCTAAAAATCAGATAAACCTCTCTTCTGAGTTCTAGCACTGAAGCTGTTTCCAAAGCACAATATTTGGAAATGGGCCAGCCATGACAAAGGTAGCTGCTTGTATTTTAATAACCAAGGGAATTAAGTGTCTTCCCTCTTTTATCTTCTTTCTAGTTTGTCTAGGTATCAGTAGAATTCAGGCTAGAAATAAGAATTTCAATGGCAACTTTCTGTTTAAACATAGATAATGATAAATTTGATCATTCTTCCTCTTTGCTGCCCAGGAATAAGCTGCACATTGTTTTGGATTTGCCATCGTGGTGTATGTGGAAGGCAGCTTTCTGCAAGTGCAGGTAAAATACTGATCACCTTGTTTTCTCTTTTTTCACCAGATTCCATTGTGATTGGATTTTGGGTTGGTCTTGCAGTTTTTGTCATCTTCATGTTTTTTGTCCTGACCCTGCTGACGAAGACAGGAGCACCTCACCAAGAGTGAGTTTGAAAATGGGAATAAGAAATCCAGCCTACTAATTGGCACATCTGGTCTCTTGCAGCCCCCAAACAAGCAGTGACAGTGCTGACATGGTACTGACTCAGCACCATCTCGTTCTAGTCCATTCTTATGAAACAGTGCAGTCTATCTTCATTTCAAACAATCTTAGCATATTCATGCTAAAAGAAGTCGGTGGGTAGGTTACCAAACAGGTACAGGTGCCTTTAGATTGCTGTTCTGCACATAAATGGGATTGCTCT